TTTTGGCAGTGTGGGCAGGTGCCAAGTCCTGCTGGAAAATGAACTACTGTGCTTGATTGGCCTGCAAACTCACCTGACCTGAACCCCAGAGAGAATCTATGGGGTATTGTCAAGAGGAAGATGAGAAGCAGACCAAAAAATGCAGATGACCTGAAGGCCACTATCAAAGCAACCTGGGCTTCCATACCACCTCAGCAGTGCCACAGGCTGATTGTCTCCATGCCACGCCGCACTGATGCAGTAATTCATGCAAAAGGAGGCCCAACCAAGTATTGAGTACATGTACAGTAAATGAACATACTTTCCAGAAGGCCAACAATTCACTAAAAATGTTTTTTTTTATTGGTCTTATGAAATATTCTAATTTGTTGAGATAGTGAATTGGTGGGTTTTTGTGAAATGTGAGTCAAAATCATCACAATTAAAAGAACCAAAGACTTAAACTACTTCAGTCTGTGTGCATTGTATTTATTTAATACACGAGTTTCACAATTTGAGTTTAATTACTGAAATGAACTTTTCCACGACATTCTAATTTATTGAGATGCACCTGTAAATGAACAGCTAAAATGCATAAAAGTGAAATCGAATGATTGTCTCCGAACAGGTTTCTCAATATAGAAACTTATTTCCACCAATTCAGACTAATTAGAATCGCAATTGCAAGTTATTAATTGTGAGATGTAAAATTAATTCTGAAGAAAAAATTCTAAATTGTGTGTTCTAAATTTGTAATTGCACGTTTATAACTAACATTTGTAATATTTTTATTAGGTGACGGAAATAAGCTTCCATACAAATACCCGTTTTATTAAGCTATTTAGATTTTTGTTAAATGCTAACAGTATTCTTTGGACTATGAATATAGTATGCTAAAAAGCTCTCTGAAAAGTCTCTAAATTCATCGTCTACATCCATAAAAGCAGCGATTCTTCTTTTTTTATTTATTTTTTTTTGGTAATGAATCCGTCTTCAGTACTGCATTTTAAAATATACTTTGTTTTTCAGCGTCTTGCACCACTTTTAAGTTGCCGCGTCAATGTAAATCGTTAACTTGTTTAACTTGCCGTAATTTGCGCTTAAACAAATAATTGATTTGTATATCGCAACATAGTTTACACACTTCATGTTTTATGTTATCCTACTGCTGTGTGACTAATTCTCCAGTTCCCTGTCACTCTCTCTCTTTCCTCTTTTTTGTTTATTTATCAATCCTCTTCTACCTCTGTATTTCTGGACACAAGAAAATGCGCAACAGAAGCCATAGGAGTTCTTCTTCGAATCAGTCCAGTTCTTCTGAACAGCAGCCGGACCAAACCAACGCAGGCGCCGAGGGATGTTTGTCCAGTTCGACGCTGGAGGGTTTGAGATCGGAGTGTTCGACGGTGTGGTTCGACCGCGTCGCGTACGAAAGTGCGGAGAGTCTTTACTACGTACGACTATTGCAGCAGCAAAACGGCACGACCGCTCCTGCGAGTTCTTCCGCAAGAAACAAGCAAGAAACCTGCCGGCATGGAGAGCAAGAGGCTTGTCATCATGTCGTTAATGCTGTGTGGGTGAATAAACCCAACTTTGACCAAGCCGAGAGCAAGTTTGTGGGCCGCGTTCCCAACCAACCGAGATCTCTCCAACTGCAGCCCGCTAGCTGCGACGAGGGCTACCAATCGCAAACCCCGACTCCGCCCACACCGGCTTCCAGACCAATCAACGGCCTCCCTTCCTTGCCACCGCCTCCAATGGGGGTGTGGCTACAGAAACCTCTTTTTGATAAAGCCGAGGCGACTTTCTATCAGAACCTGTACGGCCAAAACTCGCCACCGAGAAACCCGGAAACCAGCGGCGACGAGTCCAACTCCAAACGGCGAAATAACGCGCAAAAAAAGCCTGTAATTTGCAATGGGCGGGAAACCGACAACATCTCCACCAATCAGGGAGCGGCACGCTGCTATTTCCTGCATGCTGACAGCGAGAGGGTGTGGCTAGATCGCGGTCGCTATGCGGAGGCGGAGACTTGTTTCTGTGAAGAAGCTGCGGCGAGATCCGTCAAAACGTCTATAAACCATTCTAGCCAGAAGCAGAAGTATGACTCAATACTCGAGAAAATACACTTTTCTCACACACTGTAGATAATTAGTTCGTTCGTTCACCACCAAATTAAATTTCTGTCATTTTAACAGTCCTGTTGCTCCAAACCTGCATTACTTCTGTTTCTTGAACCTCCTACGAATCGCAGTCTTAAGTGTTTTATGGCAAAAAGTGAGTCGCACAGGTTTGGAATGGCATAAAGGTCAGTAAATGACAGAATTGGTGAATTATCACTTTAAAACCACATTTTACTCTCAGGGAACCATCAGTCTCATCCATTGCATTCACATGCAAACTTTTATATTTCTTTTGTGAACCATCTTCATGCAGTCGCACATTTTTCTCATGCCATTTTTTTTTGTTTTTCTTTGGTCTCTTTTTTTTGGTTTATTCTTGCTGAGTTTGTCCATTGTGTTGGCTTGGAAGAGTCATTCGTCTGAATTCAGTTTTGTATCATTTGGGTTTCTTCATTTGTTTGGTTGATGTCATTTTTGCATGGTTGCATTAACATATGTATATTATTTGTAGTATTATATCCATGCACCAGTTTTGGGGAGTAACTTATTTTAGTATCACTGAGATGCTATTATAGTTTTTATTAATTTTGAACTTATTTATTTTAATTTTCAAATGTTAAACCACTGAGCTTTAATTTTTATGGATTTTTCATTTTAGTCATTTTGTTGTTTTGTTTTTTTTTTGTCTTTAGAATTGGTTTTATTTTTCTTTTATATCCATGACTTTTATCAAAAAAAATTTTATTCATTGCTTAGTTTTTGTTATTTTAGTACATCAAGTTTAACTAAAATAAAATAAGCAATGCTGTTTGTTTTAGCAGGTATCTGAAAGAAAATCAATGATTAAAATTAATAATGCAAATAAAAATGAATGTTGGCAAATAAAAATATTAAAAGAAGTGTTTTCGCTGTAAAATAAGAAAATAATATAATTCGTTTTACAGTAAAATTGTTTTAAATAGGATTATTTTTATTTTCATTTTCCAAATGATAAACCATTATTTTGGCAGAAAAAAAAGATTTAGTTTTTCATTTGAAATTAATTAGTAATTAAAATTGTTTTATTGTTTTGTTTTGCATGTCCATATAGTTTTTATTAATCTTTATTTTAAATTTATTTCAGTTTTATTTATTATTTAAATTTGTTATTTTAGTACACCCAGTTAAACTTAATGAAAATGAGAAATGTTGCCTTGGCAAATAACTCAAATAGAATAAGTACATTTTATTTCAACGAACAATTTTTTGTTTTAGCTTTATTTAAATATGATAATAACCATTAGCATATAAATTCACTCCCCAATACTGCTGTGCACCGTAGTTTGCAACATCCTTTCATTTTCATCAAGGAACGAACAGATCACATCCAGTCCTTTATCAGTTCACTGAAGATGTTTGTTTGCTGAGCTTGTTACAGGTCTCGTGTGTGTGTTACAGGATGACTGCAGCGGAGTGTTTGGCGCAGGAGAGGATCTGGTTCGATAAGCCACGTTACGATGAAGCGGAACGGCAATTTTATGAGCGGATGAATGGACCCACGCAGCCCAAACAAGTATTAAATATATCACTTGAACCACTGCATCAGTATTACAGCATGTGTGCTAATACTACTGTTCCACGTGGTATTTTTGAAAGGTTAATTCTAAATGTACATTTACTTAAATTCATGCATTTGGTAGATGCTTTTATCCAAAGAGACGTTAGTTTGCATTCGGTGCATACATTCCCAGGGAACTGAACCCACGCCCTCACCGTTGCTAGCGATATTTCACGGTTTAAAGCTGCAGAAGCACTGTTTACACCAGCACACACACACACACACTGAGGTTTGTCTCTGTCTCTCGTCTCAGGACATACTTAAATTCATGCATTTGGTAGATGCTTTTATCCAAAGAGACGTTCGTTTGCATTCAGTGCATACATTCCCAGGGAACTGAACCCACGCCCTCACCGTTGCTAGCGATATTTCACGGTTTAAAGCTGCAGAAGCACTGTTTACACCAGCACACACACACACACACACTGAGGTTGGTCTCTGTCTCTCGTCTCAGGACACTGGCGCTAACAGCATCCTTCAGGACATCGCAAGAGCACGAGAAAACATTCAGAAATCTCTCGCTGGGGTGAGTCGAGCAAAAACCCTACCGTTACACTTTGAGCTGTGCAATCTAGCGCTCTTCTAGGGCTGCACGATTTCTGGGATTGCTGTGTTATTTATTATGATTTTATTTCTTATTTTTTGAGAAGCTACAGGTTTGAAGGGTTTGTACAGTTTGAATGACTGTATGATAATAATAATGTTGTGGTTGTTACAAAATTAAAAATATTTAAAAAAAATATATTATTTCACTCTAAAATAAAGAGTAGTTAAGAAAAAGAGTATAGTGATGATAGTTTTATTTTACTGTACAACTTTAAAATTACAATGGAAAAAATGGCTGTCTAGAAATATAGTAATGTTGTTATCAGTCGTTACTAAATAAAAAATATTAAAATAGAAATATGCACAATTCGTGATTACATATCAGTAATTATTATTACCGGTAATATCATTATTATTGTTGCTGTTGTTATTACTAAAGTAAAAATATATATTTCTAAAATAAGAAATACTACTATTGTAATTCACTCTAAAATAAAAAATGGAGCATTTAAGAAAACTTAATTATAATTATAATAATTGTATTTTACTGTACAGCAGCTGTGCAATTACAATACAGATCTTACATTTTTATTTTCATATGTTTTCAATATGTTTTATTTTGGCAGAAGAACACAGAAAGCCCAGAATGCTTTTGTTTTCTTGACACCAGCCAGTTTATTAGTGTTTTTATTTTAATGAATCGTCCAGCTCTACTCTTGTTCTTAAACCCTAGTGAGTTGTCTTGCTGTCTGCTGCCTACATAGGCGTTGTGAGTGTGTCTCTGATATGCTGTCTATGTAGGGAGCTCGATAGGTTTTAGAACAGAGCCCAGCTTATATCTCCTAAATCATCTGTTCTCTTCCTTCATCTGCACTCATCAGCTGAAGACAACCTTGCAGCCAAGTAGAGGCTCCGCCCCTAAAATATCAAACCCCTCCCACCGCTCGTCTCCTGTAAGTGTGTGTGTGTGACACACACTAAAGCAGCTCACGCCCTAGTCGGCCAGCGCGTGACGCGTGTGCATGCTTGCATGCATGTTGTTGTAGAAAGTTTCAGAAGAAATCTGTGATGCATGTGTTTGTTGTTAAGGTTTCTGCTGTGAAACGAGAGCGCAAACTTGCATCTTTGTTGTGAGGTTTGTATCAGTGCTGTTTTAGTGTCATTGCAAAGCTATAATAGTTTAA